GGGTGGAAGTGTTGAAAGACCACATGACAGAAGCTGGACTTAATCAATCACAATATTTGCCATATGTTGTGTTCATAAGCAAAATCTTAACTCTTCAAGGCGTGGATGTTGATGGGGAAAAGAAATGTTGTTGCAACTGCACAAATATGATTAATAGAAACACTCTGGCATCTATTGAATTGGTGAAGACTGTGAAGGGATGGTGCTTCAAAGGTGAAGAAGATTTAGTTCATAGCTCTGGAAGCACACTTGCACTGAATGAAGAACGCACAAATTTCTTTCCAGAAACAAACTTTGAGTGATTCGTTGTTGAGCAATTCAGACATATAAATGAAAGTGTTACAACGCTTGAGGGGAAGATAGACAATGTTCACCAACAGAGAGTAAATAAGTTTTCTGATGGTTTTGAGGAATGAAGACTCTATGGATATGTCTAACTCAGACTAGGGTGTTGATGTCTTTGTATGAAGTCTATGTTTTATCTTAATAGTTGTCTGTGGTTCTCGTGTTTTGTTTGTAGTGATTGGCATTAAATGCCATAGTTTCTTTTTGGTTTATATCTGATTGTAATCATTGTTTAATCATGAATGAAATCAGAATTTTTGTTTTTCAATTTGTATGTGAATGACTTGTTGCTAATAATAAATTAATCAGATTGGAAATAGATTACATTATGTATGTATGCAACTTGATATATTTCACTATTACATTTACATCATTGCATACTCATACATTATCTCTATCGATTACTGTACTGCATTGTTACTAAATTACTTGATCTAGTTAAGCCTAAAAGGTTATGCAGGAACAATGTTTGTTGGCGGAGCTAGAATGGAAAATCTACAAGACTCTGCAGCAAAGAAATTGATTATGATAGAAATCTAATCGACTGTATTTCGTAATTGGGTTTGAAGATTCCAAACCGTTATTTTCTGATATCTTCTAACCTTGATTTACTATTTGTTGTTTGTTTATGCATCTAATATTTCTGTGTTTATCCGTTGTGAATATGTTTATGAGATATTAAGTGTTTTAAATTGTTTTGGTGATTGAAATTGTATCAATTATGCTATGATATTACTGTTGTATATTTGCTCTGCTACAATGCTTGAATATGCTTTTATATGCTCTAATATATACTCTAATTGTACTTCATTGTTCATCTGTGATTTGAGATTGAAACATGCATAATGACAGGGGGAACATTGCATATTGCTGATAAGTTCACATGTTTCCTTTAAGGGGGAGAAAATATTACTGTCATGTGAATATCATTGATAGGAGGAACATCAAGTTATTTTTTATATCTTAACTTATGCATATCTATATGTTTGGTTATTTGTGTTTCAATTACTCTGTATACCTTTTTTGATAATGCCCAAAGAGGGAGAATTTGATTGGAATATTGTGGATAATCTGTGACTGTGCTTGTACAATATGATTTTATTAATCATGGTTGTGCATGATAAAAAAAGGGGGAGATTGTTGAGATTGTTGATAGGGGGAGCACAGGTTTAGCTGAACTCACAATCTCAGTGATAACTGTGTTTTTGATGATGACAACACATAATTAATAATAACACATGTATGTACTGTGTTATACATGTCCTATGCTTTTGATTACTATGTTATATCTGTTAAAGCATATTATGTGAATATTATTGTGTTGATTACTGCATACCAGTGTGATTAATATGTGTTTTTATTTGTGGATGCATAACATAAGTTTTCGGAAATGAAAATCCACAAGCACTTTGGTTGAATTTTAAAGTGTGGCAAAACAACAGTTTTAAGTCGATTACATTATGGTTCAAATCGATTAAAACTCGTGAGTTTGCACAAATACTTTTCAAGTGTGCTGTGAGATATTTTGAGAAGAAAAATTTTCAAAAATGTGCTAAGTGTTTTCACTTAATCAATTGCTTGCAATGTGTATTCAACTAAGTTTGTTGTTGATTTGAAAATTGGTTAAATGCTTGACATAACTGTAACAACGGTCATATTTTTAAATATGTTGACCAAGCATTTATGACAAATCGATTGTATTAAATGTATATTCAATTAATGCATTTGACTGCTATTATTATGTTATAGCTGTCAAATGTATTCGACTATGTTAAGAGCTAAATCGATTAAAATGTGTCTGATGTGTGTAATACTATAAATTGACGCTGATTTGAATTCTGTAAGAACTTTTGGAAATTAACACTTTCATATCTTTCAAAAAACGCTGTGTGATCTTACAGAGGAAAGAAAAGCTCCAAGAACCAAAGATTGATCGTAGTGATCAAAGACTTGAAGGTTTCTTGCGAAGCAAGGTTTACTGGATTTGGACGTCTGATCTATATGCACAAAGAGGTGTACAATGCTTGATCAGGAAATCTGCAATCGTGAAGATTGACTGGTGTTCCCTGTTGTGATTACAGGAAGAAGAACTGCATTCTTGACTTTGAGGTTGACTCAAAGGATTTGACAGTAGAAGAGGGTGTTCTTGCTGCGTGTTTGTATTGTTTACTACCTATATTTAGATTAGTGGGTTAGGGAGGTGTTTTACATTTTGATGTGAGGTCGCTGTAAAAACCTTGGTGTAAAAACCTAGATCTTTATAGTACATTAACTTCCAACTCAGGTTGATTGGAAGGACAATGGATGTAGGCTTGGCTAAATCAGTGTTTGAATTCTTTCTTCCCTATCTCTACATATAATCGATTAGTCTGTCATTGCATTCGATTAAGTGAACTACTGCATTACATACCATTTTACTTGCAGTTCAAGAAAAGCGTAAAGACATCCTATTTTGCGAAAAAGATTTTGAAAGCTTATATTTTTACACATCACCAATTCACCCCATCTTGGTGTGAGAAACTAAGCCGTTCTTTTTTTATTTTATTAAAAATACTCAGACAAAATTGAATGTTGACAAAGACTCAAACTTCATAAGTGAAGCGAAAATGAATTAAAAATATTAAAATTTCAAAAATATTATATATTTTTTAAAGTATTTAAAATTTATTTGAATATCTTAAAAAATTTCATAAATTTTAATTTCATTATCATTATTTTACCTAAACAAATAATTTTAAAGTAAAAAAGTTAAAATTTTCAAATAAATAAATTATCCTTTTAAATGACTTCATCCAAACTATAACATAAGCCTTTTTCAAATCCACTGTTGTAAGATAAAAAAATTTGCATGACACATGAAATGGAGAAAACAAAAATCACCAAACATGACAACCATGCTCTCAATTTAGGATTAATGAGATAACTTATTGTTGATTATTTTATTTGAATTTTGAAATTTAAAATTTTTCTCCAAGTCTTCACTCATTTTTTTTTTCACATTTATACTAATAATATTATTCTCTTTTGATGAAGTGATTGACTTCATCTTCTTAATATGCAAGGTTATATTATCATGTTATCAGTATAAATAAAATAGTTTTGACAATTAATAATAAAAACTAGTTAATCTTTGTTGTCTTATAAAGATGAAAATTTTATATATGTAAAAAGAAAAATACAGCAAAAGTGATTTTTTATTTAAAAAAATAATAATTTCTGAAATATTGTAATTCTTCAAAAGTGGACTCCTATACAAGGTTACTTTTTGTACAAAAAAATAGAGCAAAGTGGAAGGTGTAAATAGAAAACAAAATACCAGCAAATAAAAAAAAAGGAAGTTACTGCAAATAGAAACCCTGCTCATTCACACACAGATATACAATAAAGAAAAATAAAATTATTAGAATGCACATAAACCCTGAAATTTCCCTTAAAAAAGCGACAATTTAATTTCACTTAAACTATTATTAATACAAGCTATAAGAACAACCAACAATAAGTTACAAATAAATTTTAAGCCTAATTAAGTTTAGAGTCTCTCATAAAATTTAAAACATTCAGAGTGTTTATTAGTTTCCTTAGTTTCAAATTTTCATGATTTTGTAGTTTTATAGTCTTATAATTTTTTAATTTGGTATTTTGTTTACAATTTGATATTTCATAATTTTATAACTATATATTATTATATTACGTAATTAACGAAAGAACATGGTCATAAAAACTTAATTAGAAAATTTAAAAGCTTAATAGAAAAAAGAATTTAATAAAGAGTGGATGAGAGAAGTTTTTAAATTTATTAAACTAACTCTTAAATCTTAATGTGGTAAATCTCATGACAACTACTGCAAGGGTTACTGGTAATTTGAAGATCTAAGGTGAAAGATAATAAACCAAACCAATCCATTGATTATGCAACAGTGATTGGAAATCGGGAAGGTTTGAACAAAATTGGAGACACCTATTAATAAAAGAAAAAGGATAAGTTATTTTTAATATTTGAATATTTTAATTTAATCTAATATTTTTAATTATAAAATACAACTAAAAATGTTAAATTTGTTCACACCAATAAATCTAAACTAAAAGAGGATGAATTGGATTTAAAAGATTTTAATACATTTGTTTAAAAAATAATATAGAGAATTATTTTAATGGATTTTTTCAATAATTTGTAGATATAAAGAATGACTAATGAAAGGAAACAATAATCACACAAGAATTTATCTCTGATTCGATTTAAAAAATCCTAAGTCTTATTCTAAACAATCTTAATTTAAAAAGATTTTCATTATGATGATTTTGAATTTATACAAATTCACATAAGTACTCTTAAACTCTAACAATTAAAGAGTAAACTTTTGCCAATAATATTACAAGCAATCAGGCTAAAAAAAGGAAGGTACTCTTCCAGAATTAAAACCAAATCCAGATTTATAGAATCCTTATCGATGTTATTAATAATTATATATTAATGTAACATGTTAATGACATACAATTACACTAAATTATATTATTTCAATAATCAATTATGATATTTTAACCTTATCCAAAGTAACTAGTTGGAACATAATCAAAACTTAAATTCATTTAATTGTTTGATCCCTTTCAATAAAAATATAAAATATTTATACAATTTAATCTAGTTGCAGAAATTAATTTTTATTGTGTGTAAGTGCAAGCAAGCGCTGTTGTTCCCGCCACTTCTATAGTCTCTGGCGGACCTCCCGCTTCTCTAACAAACTCAGTCACTCACGCTCTGTTTGCCCTTTCAAATCACTCACTCGGTTCATTCATTCATGCTCGCATTGCATTTTCGATCCTCTTTTGGTTCTTCTTTTCGTCTTTCTTTCTGTTTCTCTCGAACTGTTAGGGTTCCTTCTCTCGTCTCTTTCCCTCTTTCTCTCTTCTCTGTCCCTCTCCGCGTCATGTCTAAGCCACCATCCGCCTTCGACGCTCTCATGGCCGCCGCTAAGAAGAATTCCAAATCCAAAACATCCAAGCTTTCATCACCTCCCAAGAAAAGAAAATCTCCACTCTCCACTTCCTCACAAAACCCTAGCAACCCCAAATCTCCCAAACTGCCTTCTCCGCCCATAACCGTTGAACCGGAGCAAGCAGTTAAACAGGAAGAAGTTGCTAAACCAGAAGCTGTTAAGCCGGAACCGCGGAAGGTACGCCAACTGTCAACGTCTTCTTCGAAGGGGAAGACGGAGGAGCTGAAGAAGCAAGTTGCGCAGCTGAAGCAGAAGCCTTCCAGTTTCGATCCCGCTTCGATGATTGCATGGGAGAAGGGACAGCCCGTGCCGTTTCTCTTTCTCGCCTTGGCATTCGATATGATTTCTCAGGAAAGTGGAAGAATAGTTATCACTGACATTGTTTGCAATGTGCTGCGGACTGTGATGCTGGCCACGCCGGAGGATCTTGTTCCCGTCGTTTACCTCTCCGCAAACCGGATTGCGCCTGCTCATGAAGGGTTGGAATTGGGAATCGGCGAGTCGATCATTTCCAAGGCGCTCGCGGAGGCTTATGGAAGGAACGAGAATTGGATTAAGACTCAGTATCAGGTGACTGAATTTAGATGTGTCCTTTTGTTCTTTCTTTGTTTAGTTGGATTTGACCGTGGAAGATCATTGTTAAGAGGCGGTTTCAGTTCTTTTGGTTTGCTAAGAATTGGTATCGGGTGACTGAGTTTTTCTTCCATTCTTGCTGCTGAGACGATTTTGACCGAAGGGTATTTTATTATTGACAGAAAAAAGGTGATTTGGGCTTGGTCGCCAAAGAGAGCCGTTCATCTCAACCTATGATGTGGAAGCCTGAAGCATTAACCATCAGGAAGGTTTTCAACACTTTTCGCCTTATTGCTAAGGTATGTTAGCATTGATTTTGAATATTGTGCATTTTGTTGTCCGCTTATTCACATTACATCTCAACCTTTTCCTCAAGCCTGTGGTTTATTGTTTTTAAATATAAACAAATTACGTTAAAATTGAGGTTTATTGAAATCGCACATGATCCCCCAGTCAACAAGAATCTCCCTTGCAGGCAATTACACAGTCTAATGTGTTTCTGTTGGGTTTATTTCAAACAAGTAAATGAGTTTATTACAGGGTTTAAAAAAGGAGGGTTATTTACTTTCTAAATAGCAGTGCCTAGTTTTTTGTCGACGAGCTGCATCTATAAGTTCTTCCCATGCATGGATCAATTTGAAATTATTATTACAACGTGGAGTGATTGAGGAAACTAAGCACAACATGGCCATGGCCCTTTGCTTTAGGATAACCTCGTTTTAGTGCATTCTCATGCGGTATAACAGCATGAATGGTAAAAAGAGAGTAGAGAATTTGCAAAAGTAAATTCTGAGTAAACTGGTATTGAAGACTTGGAGAGCGTAATTGGTCTCTCTATCATAAGTTGTGCATAGAGCACATCAGTCATTTTCAGCTCATTTTTTTGATACTCTATTATGGTTAGAAGTTTGTTGGAGTTTAATGTGCCTGGGATGGAGGTTCGTTTGTGTCTTTTGTTGAAGCCATGGCTTATTGAAAGCTATGTTATACGTTTCTTTTCATCTTTAAATTTCTCGAAATCTGTTTGGTGAGCATGTTAGAAGTTACTATGGCTGGGTGTATGTCCTGCAAGGGAAGAAAGGAGGAATTTGTTGTTGGGATTTGAATTGAATACATATTTGTGTATAACTGAATTTTTCTAAATAATGCTGATACTTTTTCTTTATTTCTAAATGTGTACAGGAATCTGGAAAAGACAGTCAAGAGAAAAAAAAGAATCATATCAAGGCACTTCTTGTTGCTGCAACTGACTGTGAACCTCAATATCTAATTCGTTTGCTTCAGGTTGAAATTTTAATTCTTCATTGAAGCTTGCTGGTGTGGGCTTACTTATTCATGTTAATTGCATCTTGTTCTTGTTTTCTAGACGAAGTTGCGAATTGGTTATGCAGAGCAAACTCTATTGGCTGCACTAGGCCAAGCTGCGGCATACACTGAAGAACACTCTAAACCGCCTCCTGAAATTCAGTCTCCTTTTGAAAAGGTAAGCTAATGTTATTGAACTGGGAAATATGGATAAGAGTGAATTGGTTTACATGGCCTAGTCTTGTGAGTTCATGTTGAATAGCAATATTCGCCTTTGGGTTTTAAGCATTTTAAGTGGTTCTGAACTAAATTTTTTGGGGTAGGGTGCTACTGCTGCTGTAGTTGGTATCAGTGATTTCTGATGAAGATACCACCCACCTTTTCCCTATTCTGCATTTTAGGAAACATTGGGCAGAGATTCATTATATTTCATTTCCTATTATATATATATATATATATATATCATATATATATATATATATATATATATATATATATCATATATGTATATATATATATCATATATGTATATATATATATATCATATATGTATAAATATATATTTATTTCTGGTTTCATTTTGCATCAGGCTTCGGATATTGTTAAACAAGTCTATTCTGTTCTTCCTGACTATGACAAAATAATATCTGCACTGCTTACGGAGGGTCTATGGAAGCTTCCAAAGACTTGTAAATTTACTCCAGGTGTTCCAATTAGACCTATGCTATCAAAGGCAGCAAAAAGTGTAACTGAAGTTCTGAACAAATTCCAGGATGTGGAATTTACCTGTGAATACAAATACGATGGAGAGCGTGCCCAGGTGATACTTCATGGTCAAGTCTTCCATCCGAAACATAACTCTTGTAATATTAATTATGTGCAATAACATTATCTGCATTGAAACAGATACATTACTTGGAGAATGGTTCAGTTGAGATTTACAGTAGACAAGCAGAACGGAACACCGAGAAGTTTCCTGATGTTGCTGCTGCAGTTTCAAGGTAAAAAAAAAAGCTTTATTGGGAATGATATATTTGAGGTCTGGTTCAGCCTTTTTGGGTAGCACACTTCCTAACAAGATGAAGTTGCATTTAGTAAACAATCACTTGTAATGACCATTTTCTGTCAGTGAACAGGTTGAAGAAAACAAGTGTATCTTCATTTATTCTTGATTGTGAAATTGTTGCATATGACCGTGCAACACAAAAACTTCTTTCTTTCCAGGTAATTGTAATGCTGTTTTTCTTTTTGGACGTTAGTACATTATCAGAAACCTTTTTATACCGGCAGTTAATCAATATTAGGTCCTTTGGTATGTTATGCCTGTGTTGTCTTTCCTATCTTGGTGACACAAGTTTTCGGTTTCTGATATTTTTGTTCTGGGATTTGAATTAGACATGACTTGAAAGAAGAAAATAATGTTTTTTTAACTGATACATAGAAAGTTCTCTAGTATAGAATAGATAGGACATGTATCAGAGTTAGCTATCTGCTCATCTATATCCCTTATAATGGAAAATTGCATTTACATTTATGACCTGCACTTGTATATGACATGTTATCAAGGGCTTCACATTTAAATTCTCTTTCACTCTTTCAAGAACATGTTTGTTTTTGACAGACCCTCAGTACTCGAGCTCGCAAGAAAGTAGAAATTGAAGATATAAAGGTTAATGTTTGTGTATTTGCTTTTGATTTGTTGTATCTAAATGGCCAAGAACTTCTTCAGGAAAACCTTAGAGTCCGCAGAGAGGTACCTACTTTTATCTTTGCTCTGGCAATAGTTTCATGTTTTTTATTTCTTTATTATGTAGCTTAGTCCTTGATAGAGAAGGCTGACAGTTGTAAACCTAAAAGCTGATCCAGCTTTTGAGATACGTTTTTTAGTTTGGTAGTGTTAGGACTCAAGGGCAAGAGGAGAGTCCAACATTAAAAACTAGTCTATTAGGTAGAAGAACCTCAATGGTAAGTATCATATTAAGTAGTTCACCCTACTCATTGTGGGACTCCTAACATTTTCACCCCTTTTAAGGACTGACATCAATCATCAATTAGTATTTTTGTTTACACCAATTGTTACGACTTAGCACAGGAGGAGAGCTCAACCTAAAAAACCAAGTCCATTAGTTGGGAGAACCTCAAGCTTTAAGTGAGTAATGTGAGGATTTTGCATGAATTGTCAAATAACTTTGACAAATATTAGGTCTTGTAATAATGAGATAAATGTAGCTCCATTATCTTTATAGATATGAAAAAGTTTCACCTTAGTCCACAATCAAATTTTGATTTAACAAACCCAATAGGTTGTTCCATGTAAATTTCATCAATAAACAATGAAAGGAAAACATTTTTAATGTCAAGCTAATGAAGTGGCCGATGGCAAATAACAACCATTGCAAAAGAAAGGCCTAGCAAGTATTCCAGTGCATATAAACTTGTGTATATCCTTTGACCACCAATCAAGCTTTGAGGTGCTCAACTTCATCACTAAGTCCAACTTTAACAACATAAACCCAACCACAATCTTCTTTCTAGATGGAATAGGAACAAACTTCCATGTGCCATTGCTTGGGAGAATGTGCACTTCATCAATCATAGATGTGCTTCATCAATCATGGCTTATTGCCATTCAAGATGAGGTGTTTCATTAGTAGTTTTAGGAACCATGGTACAGACAAAGAAGCAACAAAAGAACATGATGGAGACAATGATAAATTGAAAAGTTATAAATAGGATATGGATTAAACTCATAAGTCAACTATTACTTACGAAGGTTAACCCTCCACAGATTGAGAAATACAACCCTTGGCCCCTTAGAAGATTGACCTTGATGGTTCAATTTTTCAAATTTAAGTCTCAAATGCTCTTGGTACTCATTGGAAAACTTGGTAACAAGAAATGTGCACCTAGAAGATGTCGACAAGACGAACGACATGTAATTCCACATCAAGAAGGTGGCACATTAACTCAGATGCCTGATAAAGGACAATTAGAGATTGGAGCAAGGCAGCCTGTCACAAAGCTTTTGTTCATGTCATCACCAAGGTTGCGTTGGGTCATGCTCTTCAAGACACACCTAACCCTAACTTAGCTAGGAAATACGGTTTTGGACTGTGGTAGTAGACAACTGATACTGGTGGTCCGACAACAGGGCACTAATTTTGACGTCAAATTGGTGGTAATAAAAATCAGCCAGTTGCTTATATATATATATATATA